ATACTCTTTGTATACTTTATTGGTGATATTTATTGCTGTAAATAAGGTAAATAAGATGTAAAATGTTGAGCTTTATATACGGGTGTGGAGGAGTGTGAGGTCACCACGAGGTCACACTTAACGTGGGAGCAAGTGTGTTGGGTGGGAGTGGTCAGGAGGCAACACACACTCTCTGCCTCACTCGTTATCCATTAACTTTCCCATTGTGTGAACCCAAGTAATGATGGTGCTGAGCCGAACACATCTCTCACGTGCAGATGACTATGGTGGTGCTCGTAGCACATCACCGTGGTGGTGGTGGTGCTACGGTGGCATCACCATGGTGGTGGTGGTGGTGGTACTACGGTGGCATCACCGTGGTGGTGGTGTTGATGGTGGTGCTACGGTGACATCACCGTGGTGGTGGTGGTGGTGCTACGGTGACATCACCGTGGTGGTGGTGGTGGTGGGGCTACGGTGACATCACCTCACTAGTCTTGCCTCACTTGCTGTCTTCCATTTGTATTGTGTAGGTGTTAGCTGCTTCCTCGCCTTTTGACCTTTGACCTTACATTCTAGGTTACGTAATTAAATAGCGCGTGTGTATGTGTGTGTGTGTGTGTGTATGTGCGTGTGTGGGCTCGTGTGCGTGTGTGTGTATGTGCGTGTGTGTGCTCGTGTGCGTGTACGTGTGTGTGTGTACTCACCTATTTGTACTTACCTATTTGTGCTTGCGGGGGTTGAGCTTTGGCTCTTTGTTCCCATCTCTCAACTGTCAATCAACTGGTGTACAGATATCTACATTTGAAACTGTGTATGGAGTCAGCCTCCACGACACCACTGCCTAATGCATTCCATTTATTAACTACTTTGACACTGTAAAAGTGCTAATGTCTCTGTCTCATTTGGGTTCTCAATTTCCACCTGTGTCCCCTTGTGGTAGTACCACACGTGTTAAATAATGCCTCTATCTGCCCTGTCAATTCCCCTGAGAATTGTGTATGTGGTAATCATGTCTCCCCAACTCTTCTGTCTTCCAGCCACATGAGGTGCAATGCACGCAGCTTTTCCTGGACACTCATTCCTCGTAGTTCTGGAACCAGTTTAGTGGCATACCTTTGAACCTTCTCCAACTTCGTCTTAAGTTTGACAAGGTATGGAAGGACTCCATGCAGGTGCCGCATATTCCATGATTGGTTTTACGAATGTGAAACGAATTTCTAGTAAATATGTTTGGTAATTTCATTAAAGCCAAGTAATTTTCATACATTATTTTCGCGTGACCCTTCGCCATAGACGAGTTACTCTTAACACAGTAACAACCGGGTAATCTTAACTTACCAGCCAAGGTGTAAAAAGTAATATTTATCAACAGCTTCTTTGTCGCTTCAAAACACGTCAGGTGATCTCTCTCTCTCTCTCTCTCTCTCTCTCTCTCTCTCTCTCTCTCTCTCTCTCTCTCTCTCTCTCTCTCTCTCTCTCTCTCTCTCTCTCTCTCTCTCTCTCTCTCTCAGTTCCGTCTGAAATGTTCCATCTACGATCGTCGATTTGACTCCCATGCTAATTTGCCTCCCACGAAGCTTTGACGCCCAAGTCTCTTTGACTCCCACGCCGTCGTGGCCCGGGCCGCCCTCCCTCAGTAACGTGTTCTGAATACATTTGAAGCAAGTGTGCGGAAGAAATTTTTCTTGTGAATGTTGTCCTCTGGTTTCTCTTAGACTGATCATACTGCACCATCTCTGAGACTCCCCAGGACTCTAATATGTGCCCAGGGCTCTTATCTTGGCCTCGGGGCTCAAATATGTGCCCAGGGCTCTTATCTTGGCCTCGTGGCTCTAATGTGTGCCCCAGGGCTCTATTTCTTGGCCTCGGAGCTCTAATATGTGCCCAGAGCTCTTATCTTGGCCTCGGGGCTCTAATATGTGCCCAGGGCTCTTATCTTGGTCTCGGGGCTCTTTATATGTGCTCTAGGGCTCTTATCTTTATCTCGGGATCTTTTTTTTCCCAGGAGCTCAACCATTTGGGCTGGACTATAGAGCGAAGGTCTCGTTTCATGCAGATTGGCGTTCAATCCCCGACCGTCCAAGTGGTTGGGCACCATTCCTTCCCCCCTCCTTCCGTCCCATCCTAAATCCTTATCCTGGTAATCCCTTCTATATAGTCGTGGTGGCTTGGCGCTTTCTCCTAATAGTTCCCTCCCTTCCCTGTGTTCCTAGGGCTCTTAACTGTACCCCAGGTCTCTGTTCCGTGCCCCAGGATTCTGTTCCGTGTCCCAGGTCTCTGTTCCGTGCCCCAGGTCTCTGTTCCGTGTCCCAGGTCTCTGTTCTGTGCCCCAGGTATCTATTCCGTGTCCCAGGTCTCTGTTCTGTGCCCCAGGTCTCTGTTCCGTGCCCCAGTACTCAGTTCTGGGCCCCAGGACAGAACAGTCATCACTAACCATCTTCCCTGTGCCCATTGTGTCTACTCCAGGTTTCTGACAGACTGTGTTTATGACTCATTAACCCGAAAATGGTTTATCTTGGACACTAACACTACCAGTGTCCTCACCAACCTCTCATTAGTGGTCACCAGCCCTGTGTCCGGCCCCCAACACGGGGAGGTCACTGGTGCCAGTACCATACTTCTCACAAGGTTCATCTAACACATTTAAGAAAGGTGTGTCTCTCTCTCTCACGTCGGGCCTGGCAGTTCAGTCTGCATTTATTACACAGTTCACGGACCCCAAAGCGGTTCGTGGTCGTCCATAATAATAATAAAAACCGTAGGGTGCGGACGACCTCGCAGCGCTTTAGAGCTCGTAATCTTTGTAATAAATGCCGACTAAGAGTGCCATGGTCGGGGAGCAGAGGGACGACTGGCCTGTGTGTGCGTGATGGCACGGGACAGGGAGGAGCGTCGTGTGACGCGGCCCGCTCTATAACTATAACTTTCAGTGGCAAGGAGTATATACTACGGTTTTCTTTATACATTTTAAGTAAGACAAATATCGTGATACAAATGAATGTTTAAAAAAAAGAGTATTGTGTAATGTATTTGACGTATATGCTGAAAGGTGTTGAGAGGAACATTGATGTGTGTGTTGTCCCGCATTCAGTGCTGAGATCGGTGGCGGTGTTGGTATTTCTGGTTGAAAGACAGAGATGAATAATCTTTCAATGTTTTGCAACATCTTATACAATATGGACTTAGTATCTTTTGAAATTATGGTTTTGATGTGAACAAATCTTCGAATGGTTTAGTCATAATTTAATATAAGATGCGGGTGAGAGGAGAGGTGGATCATCCTGTACTAAGTCCAGAAGACCACACTACACTCTACTTCCCTCAGTGTGGTCGAGACTCGAAACACTTAAGTCACTGCCTTATCTCAGTTATCTGGAGTGTGTTCTGGGACTACTTCTACTCCGAGGCCCGGCCTGGGGCCAGACTTTTCCTGTGATAACGTGTTTCAACAGGCTTGAAGCGGCCCGTACGCCCATATATCCACATGATCCCTGCACGTCTAGCAGTAACATATTTCTCTTAAACGCGTCCACTTTTGTTCCGGCCATGTTTCTTGTGTTTGTTGGGAGGGTACTGAATAACCATATAGATTACGTGATACCTCCCCGACCTTCCAAGTGGTTGGGCACCATCTTTCCCCCCCCCCCCGTCCCATCCCAAATCCTTATCCTGACCCCTTCCCAGTGCTATAGTCATAACGGCTTGGCGCTTTCTCATGATAGTTCATTCATTTCTCTCGTCTCCTTCCTAGAGAGAATATTTTAAGAGCTTTGAGAGAGTGTCTCTATAATATAGGTGCTGTATTATGTTTGTGCGAGCTTATATATGCTCTCTGTATTCCCTCTATTTCAGAAAGCCTTCCTACTGTGAAAGGGGAAGTGAGTACTAAACATTACTCAAGACGGAGAAACGCATGTAATTAGAATAGTATCAGTAGTGTGAGTGTATCACTGGATTTGAAGGGTCTCACTATCCATTATAGTTCCCCCTCCCTAATCTTGACACCCCCCTAGTCCTTATCCCCTTGGACCCCCCCTCGTCCCTATCCCCTGGGCCCCCCTTCGTCCCTATCCCCTTGGTCCCCCCCTCGTCCCTCCACTCATCCATCACCTCTCCCCCCCATCCTCCCTGCTTCACCCCTCTCCCCTTCTCTCTGAAAATGTATTATTAAGAAGCACTGGAACAACTGTATGGGTCAGAATATATATTACTACCATCACTAAAAACTTCAGGAAAACACTCCATATATTTCGCACTTGACTGTCACAATCTCATGGGAGTATTTATAAATGTAAATATTTATTAAAGCATTTAACTTAGGCCTACTCTGGCTAGCCTATGACCTCGTTCTCCAGGCCATTCCCCTGCATATTTGGATGAGGCTATCCTCCTATCCCCCCCTAGCTTCTAGCCTCCATCTCTGGACATTGTCTCCACTCTTATGAGACACACGAGACACGGAGTGTGTTGTCCTTCAGCACTCCTCTCTATATTAATGTATGGATTTAAAAAAGAAGAATTTAAAGTTTATTACACAAAATACACAAACTGGGTTACAACACTGGTTACATACAAGGTACAAAGTTAGTTGTCGCAGACTGTGACGTTCCTCAAGCTCCTCAGCTAACGGCCAGGACCCATGGGTGAAGTGTGCGTCTCCTCTGTACAGCCACGCTGAGGCGCTGAAAACGGAAGCTGGCTGCTCAAGGGTCTCTTGTTGTTCCGAGTAGCTTAGAACCGAGAGTCTTCATAACAACTAGTAGCATTGCTGCTAGTTTTTTGTAGTAGTATTTTTGGGAACAATATTTTACTCGTGACCAAGTTCTCTGTGCTTAGCTGAATACCTGTGGGTGGCAGCACCACCCGGATGTGCAACATTGATGTTAGTGTACATATTAGCCAAGGTTAATAACCAAGTGTAGTCTCACACCACTGCCTACAGTTCTATATAAATATATAATGACTCCCTTTCCTTATATATATATATATATATATATATATATATATATATATATATATATATATATAACGACTCATTATTATTATCGATGTTTATCAAATGTAACATTTTATAACTTATCAGGTATATAATTATGGAATAAATATGTTTTGCATTCAACTAATACGCTAATCATGATCTTTGAAGCCATACCAAAAATAGAGTAAGTATTACATAAGCTTGAAACGTATTTATCGAAAATATCTAGTGGTAATACAGGCTAGCCGTAGGCTTTTATATGCAACAATGCAGCCACTGCCATGAGCACCTACCAATGCAGTTAAGCACTCTAGTTGCTATATATGGACTAAGCAAAGCTATAGTGTTAACATGGAGCTCGTGATACTACGTATAAATGACTGCGATGTTTGCAATGCGACTTGTTATTCAGGTGTGTTCTGTAGCAACCATGTCATCGCTGGTCCCGTAGTCGCCTCTTAACATTCTTCGGCAACTTCCTCTCCTGCCGAATTATCTTCCTCTATTTCACGAGTAGTATTCATCTGTGTCGTTAGCCTGAGCTCGCTGCTGCCCCCTCTCTCCCCGTCTACAGGACGGGCGATATTCTCCATTATGGTATCCATTACTAAGGGATTCGCCGACCTGGACTTGCATACTCTTGTATGTTGTTCTTCAGCGTCTAAGAGATTACATTTCCTCTCTATATCATCACGAAGCTCGTCATCAGCTGGTAGAGGATCAGCACTATTATTGATTGTTTCTGGATCTGAAGCCGAAGCAGCTTGTTCATATTCTTCCTGGACTTCGTCTTCCTTTTCTTCTGTCGCGGTTCTGGAAATTATTCTTTCCCGAGAGGCCAATAGCGACCTCGTAGTGTGTGGCATGGAATGCCTTCTGGTGGTTAGTGATGAAATGGAACTTGTCGGGATTCCTCCTGGCGTTGAGTTCCTCCTGGAGATAGCACCGGGGGGCAGGTTGTCGTCGTCTTCGTCATCGTCATCGTCATCGTCTTGTGTTTCGCCCCAGGGCTCAACCTCCCCGCCTCCCGACGCCACGGGCTTCTTGCCGAACCTGGCGCGGATGGTGTTGATGGAGCGGGTCAGCTCGATCACTTTGTCGTCGTCACGGCGCTGGGAAGAAGAGAAGCACAAGGGGTTACTGCCGGTTTGTTGTTTTATGTGAGAGGCTGCAACAACTACTATGACACACACACACACACACACACACACACACACACACACACACACACACACACACACACGCACACGCACACACACACGCACACACACACAGCCCAAACACATGGTAGCCTGGTGGATAGCGCGCAGGACTCGTAATTCTGTGGCGCGGGTTCGATTCCCGCACCAAGCAGAAACAAATGGGCAAAGTTTCTTTCACCCTGAATGCCCCTGTTACCTAGCAGTAAATAGGCACCTTGGAGTTAGTTAGCTGTCACGGGCTGCTTCCTGGTGTGTGTGTGTGTGTGGTGTGGGGAAAAAAAAGAAAAAAAAGTAGTTAGTAAACAGTTGATTGACAGTTGAGAGGTGGGCCGAAAGAGCAAAGCTCAACCCCCGCAAACGCAACTAGGTGAATACACACACACAGGAAGCAGCCCGTAGCAGCTGTCTAATTCCCAGGTGCTTATTTACTACTAGGTAACGCGAACATCAGGGTGAAAGAAACTCTGCCCATTTGTTTCCGCTATCGCCGGGGATCGATCACCGAACCACAGGACTACGAATCCCGAGCGCTGTCCACTCAGCTGTCAGGTCACAACACAGCAGTGCTGGGGTGGAGTGGCACCTCATGCACGTGCTCAGGTGCTGGACATGGATGTAATGAGGGGACGGCTCCAACTCATTATGGGGGAGGAAGAAAATGATGAGGACGTCCTTATATATAATTTATGTTAATGTATAGAAATCGTAAACATTTAATTTAGTTAAAGATTAATAAAACTTGAGTCAAAATTCTTTACTGTGTCCGTCTCGATGTTATATTGTGTATTAAAGCTTTTTGTGTGATTTGAATACTATATTGGTTTACTGTGCAGTACCTCGGCTCCATCCCGGTATGAAAACATCTTTTTGCTCCATCTGCTTTAGGCTTGTTATTAAAAATGAACTTGAAATTGGAAATTTACCTAAGATTTATTTGACACACAGAACAGTGCACCGATATTGCTGACATTTACAAAGTCTTGTGTGAGTTCTTGTAAGCTTTTGGTTCGTTGTGTGGCGTATTTCCTTGAGCTTAAATTACTCAATATGGTTCTCCCTTTATTCATTAATGTTATGAAATATACTTAAGGAACCGGGTTATTTAAAGCGATTTATTGAATATAATCGTGATTTTTAATTTATTTTGATGGATGGTTTTCTAGTACCGACCTTAATTCTGTTTTTTTAATTATTTTTTTTCAAATGACTTATCTGATCATAGTGTCAAACGTCAGTAGTCTCTTAACCTTTCTTTGCGACATCTTTAGCAATACTGGCTAAGACACTAGCGCAGTCGTCTCATAACTAAGAGTCCTATGTTTGATTCCAGAGTAGGACGAAAGGTTTGGGAACGTTTCTTTACACCTCATGCCTCTGTTCACCTAACAGTAAACAGTATAGTGGTAGTATCAGGTGCCAGTAGTAGAGACTTACAGTACAGTAGCAGATGGATTAACCGTGATAGTAGTAGAGATTAAGAGTGTCAGTGGTAGAGAAACTAAGAGTGACATTAGTAGAGGGGTTAAAAGTGCCAGTAGTCGATAGATAAACAGTGCCAGTAGTCGATAGATAAACAGTGCCAGTAGTAGATAGATAAACAGTGCCAGTAGTAGATAGATAAACAGTGCTAGTAGTAGATAGATAAACAGTGCCAGTAGTAGATAGATAAACAGTGCCAGTAGTAGATAGATAAACAGTGCCAGTAGTAGATAGATAAACAGTGCCAGTAGTAGTTTGATTAATAGTGCCAGTAAGAGAGAGACATTAGAAGCATCAAGAACTTTATTAGCAGTGAGAATAACAGTTACTAACGTTACATCACTGTACTCTCCCATTGTGCTACGAGTGACGCAAGAGTCCGCCTATGGCCTCTTAAACTGAAAATATTTTTACGGCTTAAATTAAGCTTACTGGTCCCAACAATAAGAGGAGTAACAGCCGTGGTGTCATCGCTTGTCCCAGGGATGCGGGTAGCCCATATACCCAAGACCATTAGCACGTGCTAGCAGGAAATTAAACGATGAGCGGGGTGTTGGGGGCGGGCGGGCGGCTCGTATCGACGTCCGCGCCCTCTAACCTGACTTAAAATTAGTCCATTAGCAACGGACGATAGGCAAGACCTCCCCTCCCGGACTGGCTTGTCTACCGAGATGGCGCCGCCCTACTTCTGCCAAAAATATTCTGCCGTACGGTGCCACGGTCTCCGAATCGGTGGGCCATCCTCATACTCCGCCAGGTGGCAGGAGAGACTAGCTGATCTGTAGATGCTGAGGTCTTGGAGTGGCCGTGGAGGGACCTGAGGGGCAGCCATTGGTGGCAGACGGTGGCAGAGGTGAGCAGTGCGGGTGGTGCAGGCTAGCCTCCCTCCACCCGCCGCTGACACCCGTCCGAATGCTCCTGTATCGATGATGCGGTTCTGTTCAGGTTAGCTGCAGCATTACCACGGCCACCGTATTCCTTGACGCTCCCACGCCTCATGCAACACTTCTCATGCAGTCAATAACGCCACCTTTACACCACACATCTATGAGTTCTTGTTTGTGTACACGGAATGTTGACAATCTAGAAACGTTCAACAAAAATGTGTAGATATGATTGTTTACCATCTTTACTTTATAATAGGGATAAATGTTTTCCTAAGAGGAGGGTTGGCAACACTGATGCGTGGGTGGCCTGTGTGGCAGGGGAATTTCCCTTTCAGCGGCGCTGTTACCAAAACACTTCTGTTACTGACCAGAGTTTGGAGCCAACCTGGGTGCACTTTGGCCCAATTGGGAAATGATCGTCCCACTTTGGGAATGGGATATCCAGGTTTGGGAATGGGGTGTCCTACCCTTGGAGGCTGGAGTAACACAGGAGTACAAAGGTCACCCTTGGAGGCTGGAGTAACACAGGAGTACAAAGGTCACCCTTGGAGGTTGGGGTAACACATCATTATTAGGGTCTAATGTGGGGACAAGAGACACAATGTGAGACTGAAGTCACACTTAAGAATTAGATTCATACTTAACGACTGGCGCCACACAAAAGATTAGGGTCACCTGAAACTTGGTTCATGAAGGGATATAAGGACCAGGCATGAACACCCAGGCTACACAGTGGGGCTGGACTCTTGTGTGAGTACACACAAGGACTTGAACCACTCTCGGGGACTTGGACCACACACGTTATCATTAACAAGTCTCCTCTGTAAGATATTATAAACCTATTAGGAGTCCGTAGAACACTTAGAAGATATGCATTTTATTTCCAAGCATCAACATTGATTCAGCATGGGAAATTTTTCTTGACTATCATATCGAAATTCTACGACAAAAATACAGCAAAGAAAGGAGAGAGAGGGTTGTGCAGATTGCATTTTCCTCGATTGGCAGAACGCTTCTGACACTGTTCTTCACAAGAGAGTCCTAGGCAAACAACAAGGAGCAGGCTGGTGTGTCAGGAAGAACACTAAGTTGGATGAAGGAAGGAAGGAAGGACTTATCAGGGGAAAGCGCCAAGTCATTACGACTATTTAGCACTTGGAAGGGATCAGGATAAGGATTTGGGATGGGACGGGGGGAAGGAATGGTGCTCAACCACTTGGACGGTCGGGGATTGAACGCAGACCTGCATGAAGCGAAACCGTCGCTCTACCGTCCACCCCAAGTGGTTGGGCATAAGTTGGATGAAGGCGTACCTTTCAGGAACGAGGTTGAGTCATAGTAAGAAGGGAGATGTCAGAGTAGGAAGGTAATGAGCGGAGTGCCTCAAGGGCCGGTACTCGTTCCCGTCCTGTTCCTAATATAGTTAATCACTCTAACGGAAGAGTAAGCTCAGTCATAACAATGTTTGCCGACACTGGTAAATTAATGAGAAGGATCAGAAAGGAGAACGGCTGTAATGCATTGCAAGATGAACTAGACCATCTCCAGAGATGGATATGAAGGGTAGGCAGCTTCCCACTTTTGATAAGGAGGAAGGCTTAGGAATAGACAATTTTAAATCTAACACCAGAGGCACATTTGTGATACCTGTTCTTGAGCATGCTGCCCCGGCATGGAACCCTCTATCTAATAAAATGCTAAACATAACAATAAAAGGTTCAGTGATATGTAAGGAGGCAAGTTTCTGGGGTAAGGGGACTGAGATATGAAGAATAACTTGGGGACCTTCCAACGCTACAGAAAAGAAAGATTAATTTAGAAATAACGACGTACAGAATTCTAAAGGCAATTGACTAAGTAGACGGAGAAACAATTGTTAAAGTTAGGAGGTGTAAAATGAGGGAACGGAATTTGAAACTGGAGACAATGAGATGTCAGTTGGAACTTCTTAACTTTATAAATCGTAATTAAGTTGTTGAGGCAATTCGATACAGTTTTAAATGTAATCATGATTACGAAAACTTGAAAGTCACAGCATTGAACAACTGATGGCTGAAAGGTGAGGCTTATTGGTAGCTTAAATCTGCAGGTACACCGCCCCTCACATTTGTATATGAGGGGGCTGGGTGTAGTGAGGGGCTGGGTGTAGTGAGGGGCTGGGTGTAGTGAGGGGCTGGGTGTACGTGAGGGGCTGGGTGTATGTGAGGGGCTGGGTGTAGTGAGGGGGCTGGGTGTAGTGAGGGGCTGGGTGTTGTGAGGGGCTGGGTGTAGTGAGGGGCTGGGTGTAGTGAGGGGCTGGGTGTAGTGAGGGGCTGGGTGTAGTGAGGGGCTGGGTTTAGTGAGGGGGCTGGGTGTAGTGAGGGGGCTGGGTGTAGTGAGGGGCTGGGTGTAGTGAGGGGCTGAGTGTAGTGAGGGGCTGGGTGTAGTGAGGAGCTGGGTGTAGTGAGGGGGCTGGGTGTATGTGAGGGGCTGGGTGTAGTGAGGGGGCTGGGTGTATGTGAGGGGCTGGGTGTAGTGAGGGGCTGAGTGTAGTGAGGGGGCTGG